ATAGTGATTGAATGTTTAACAAAAATAATTGGAATAATAATAATAATAATAATCTGAAAAAAATAATGAAAAGCTATTTGATGATGATGGGGATTTTAATGTCTTTCTATTGACTGATATGCATCATATTCCTTCTGGAAAAAGAAATGTAATATACTGTAAAGTAATATGTGATTTAATGTAATATAAACAAGAGTATGAGAATAATAAATAAAAATATATAAAATTTTTAAAATTAAACAAATGAACCTACTGTATATTGAATTAAATATATAACCACACAGAGAACTATTTAAAATGTTTTTGTAACACTTCCAATTAGGATGCAAAAGTGGGAAGCATTCCCCCCACCAGAATGATAAAAAAAACTAGATAAATTACAAAATCATAACTTTCCTTGAATTCCTCAGGTGACCATACAGATGTTTCCAAGAAGATTCAGGACATGAGTACTGATTAAACTGCAGTAAAGTCTAAGAAGAAAACACTGGGCACCACACAGATGGTTAAGAATTCAGCTAAAACTTGGAAATGAATTACCAAAGGTTAAGTATGGACTAGCAGGAGGGGACAGAACCCAAGGAAGCAACAAACACAAGAGTTCACCTCTACTTGTAGGCTCTTCTCCACAGACTTCTATTCACAAGAAAGACCAGAGGAAGGACAGTGTTACAGGTGTAGGGCAAGGGAGCAGCTACCATTCTGAGAAAAAAAGCTGGCTGCTTGGAGACAGACAGGTATAGGGCAAGGGAGCAGCTACCATTCTGAGAAAAAAAGCTGGCTGCTTGGAGACAGACAGCTTCTTCTGTCTCTAGAGCACAGAAAGAAAAAGAAAAAATCTCCTTTCTCCTGGGAAAGGGAAAGGAATCCTATGGTCACACCATTAGTTTTCTTCAGTCGAGTAAGGGACAAAAATCGCTGAGAAAGTCCCATCCAGAAGACCTAGTGACACAAGGACCACTCAAGGGAGAGGCTGGACAATGACAACAGTGAATTCCCTCCTCCCTGGCTACCAAGAAATGAGTAACGAGCAAAAGCAGTCTATGGCTGGGGCAGGTCCTAGAGCTTAGAGAATCACTATGGGACAAGAGGGCAAAGACAGAAAGATCACCATAGAACAGAAACATTAGGAAAAACAGACAGGGCCAGCAGGTGGCACAGAGATTAAGATGGCTGGATCTCACATGGCTGACTAAATGGTTCAGTTCAAGGACCAGACCTGACGGGAACCAGCAGTTAGCGTAATGGCTATGTCGCTGGATTCCCACGTAGTCGACCGCGGTTCGCATACCGGACCCGGTGGCTTAAAACTCACGCCGGGCGCGTGTGCGTGCGTGCCCAAGATCCCGAGGAGAATGGAGGAGAAGGGATTGCGGCGTGACCATCCCCTCTGGGGGGTGATTTCTCGCTTTCTGTCTCTATGTCTCTCTCTGTCTGTCTGGCGAGCGCACGCGCCCTATAGCGAAAATCTCTCCAAAAAAAAAAAAAAACAAGGACCAGACCTGACAGCTTAAAAGCATGTTAGGCATGTGTGCATGTGTGCCCCAAATCTTGAGAGAATGGAGAAAGGACTGCAATGTGGTTATCCTCCCTGAAGGGTTCTTCCTAATTTCTCTAATGAATATATGTATCCTACAGCAATTTTTTAAGAAAGAAATAAAAGTAAACTTTAAAATATTCCTGAATGATTTGAATAATACAGAATATTTTTGTTATTCATTATGGGCTATGATAGTTTATGCTATCAGGTGTGTCATGCTAGGCTCCTAGACAGGAGATAACTCAAGGTGGAGGTTAACCACATGTGAAAGACTGAACATCTGATTAGAGAGTTGGAGATTTGAGTCACAAAATATAGACCAAACTTTGGGGAGGGAAGGGACACTAGAGATTTAGTTCAATGATGTGGCCAATGATCCAATCAATTATGTTTATATAATGAAACTCCAATAGAAACTCTAGACACATAGGTGAGTTTCCCTAGTTGGCAACTGTAGGTATTGTCACACACTAGTGAACCAGGAGAGAAGGGAAAAATATTTGTTTGGGACCTTATCAGACTTCACCCTATGCGTCTCTCCATTTGCTGGTTTAGTGTTTTTTCTTTTGCTATAATAAAACTGTAATTTCAAGTATAGCGCTTTCTTGAACTGTGTCATTCATTTATGTAACCTGAGGGGCTGATGGGACAACCTACACGTAGTCACTTGATCAGAAGTGAGGGTGGTCAGGAACCAGCAGTTAGCGTAATGGCTATGTTGCTGGACTCCCATGTAGTCAACTGTGGTTCAAGTCCCGGACCCAGTGGCTTAAAACTCATGCCGGGCGCGTGTGCGTGCGTGCCTAAAATCCCGAGAGGAGAATGGAGGAGAAGGGATTGTAGCGTGACCATCCCCCCTGGGGGGTGATTTCTCGCTTTCTGTCTCTATGTCTCTTCTGTCTATCTGGAGAGCGCACGCGCCCTATAGCAAAAATCTCTCCCCAAAAAAAAAAAGAAGTAAGGGTGGTCCTGGAAATCCCTAAACTTGTGGCTGGTGTCTGAAGTGAAAGTCATCTTACACATGACTGTGCCCTTAACCTGTGAAGTTTAACCTAACTCCAGGTAGCTGGTGTCAGAAGTCACTGCATCCAGAGCTGGCCCCTTGGACTAGTGGTTAAGAGCTGGATCCCACATGGCCAACCATATGGTTCAAATCCCAGCCAGGCAGCTTGAAAAACATGCCAGGCAGGGGTGTGTGCATGCCCAAAATCCTGACAGCATGGATTCTCAGGTAACTCTGTCAGTCTCTGGACCATACTGCTTTCTCTACCCCACTGATCCCACACACCTGTTTCCCACTCTCAAGAGTTGGCTCAGAGTGCCTGCTGCCTGATACTAGCACCTCCAGAAAAAAGTGCCCCTCCCTTCTCTGCCACAGAGTGTCTTTAAGGTTTCCAAACTCTTGGAACCAGGTGGCATGGTGCTTAAGGTGGTGGACTCCCACATGGCCAACTTCAGTTCGAGTCCCTGACCTGGTGGCTTGCTTTCTCATCTTCCTTCCCTTTTTGTCTCTCTCTGGTCAAATTTTAAAAACATAGTAATAATGAATAAAATTAATAATTTCTTTTTAAAAAGTTTTCATACTCTTTAAAAGAATTATTTATTTAATTTTATTTATCCTTTCATTTTAATGTGACCAGAGAGAGACACAGGGAGAGAGAAAGAGAGAGAAGGAAAGTGAGAAAGCAAGCGACCAGGTCTAGGACTCGAACCACTGTCTGCCATGTGGGCGTGCCCAGTGCCTTAACCACCACGCCACCTTTTGATCCCAAAAGTTTTCATACTCTTGAAAAACACACCATACACATGTGTATGCATACCCCAAATCCCAACAGGATGAAGAAATAGAGAAGGGACTGTAGTGTGACCACACTGCACAAGCCAGGAACAGGTTCCCTCTTCCTCTCCCTCTCTTTCTTTCTGTCTCTGGTAAATACACATACCCTTTGGCAGATAAAAAAAAAAATCCCTAATCTTTTATGTGAAACACTCTCTTATATATTGCCTTATTTTAACATTGTATATTTATTCTTATGAGTTAGACTGCAAGCACTGTAGGCAAGGGCTCTTTGTATTCCCTAAAGTAACTAGCACAGTACATTACAAATTATGGAAGTTCAATAAACATCTGTTGAATAAAAGTGAATTGGATACTGAATAATGAGTGACCAGAACCAAATAAGTTGAAGAATCTTCTTCACAGAAGAGGGTGTAGTTCAGGTAAAAGACTACAATTAAAAATAGCTAAGCACCTATAAATATGTCAGGCCAGATACTACCTGTGGGTATATTAGCTCGTTTAGTACTCTCACTAATCCTGTGATAAGTTTCTATCACCTATGTCCAAGTGAAGAAAATATGGTTCAGACTGTATCTACTTAAGGTCATAATGCTCCATGAGAACGCGGTTCAATTTACTCTTTTACTGCTGTTTTTCCAATGCCTAAAAAGTGACTGGAACATAGTGGTTGCTCAGTAAATATCAGCTGAATGAAGAGATGAGCAAATGTAGCTACTAAACAGCAGAGCCAGGATTAAAATCAAGTTCATTTGACACTCCTGTTCGGTTCTTCACCATGTAAAGTTGCCAATTTAAAACAGAGAAAGTAAAGTACCATTTATTGTGCCACTACTATATAACAACACTGTTGGAGAGGCAGGATATCAGGGCAAAATGTTCATTTTATTTCTCAGATCATGGCACTTGTTGTATTATACACTTTATATAAATTATGTCATTTGGTCTTCCTTAAACCCTTTGACATGTTTTTGTTTGTTTGCTTGTTTGTTTTGTTTTGTTTTGATCTCCAGCTCACAGATGAAGAAACACCCTCTGTGAAATAATTTGCCCAAACTCACACAAGCAGTAGAGTGGATGGATTGTAGTCCTGGTAAATATAACTCCGTTCTTAAATGCCTGCCCATGCTTTGGGCTTGTACTTGCAATAAAAAGCGTATCCATTGCAGAGGAAGGAGCAGGAGAGTATGGTGAGGAGGATGATAAGGTACTGTGACAGGTAGGTCAGGGATTAAACCCAACCTATTGGGGTCACTGAACAAGTCAAGACTTAAATTATAATCAATAAAATGTTAATGTCCCATGGAAAACAATTTCTCCTTACTCCTAGAAGGTTGTTAAACACAAGGGCTAGTCAATTCACGATAGGATGAGGGGACAGTGGAGAAAATACTTAAGAAGAAATCATCTAAAGCTCGGCATCTAACACTACGTAGGGAATGAGGATGAGCCCTGAGAGTACAGGAAAGGAAAGCGGATGGGAGTTTCACAAGAGGGAGTGGAAAGAGGAGGGCAGGGAGGAAAGATGTTAGCCCAAGAACAGGTTCAGTGTTAGGGCTCGTTCTGGTATGGGGTACAGAATGGGCCTCCCAGGCGAAAGGGGCTCCGGCTTTCTCAGGCCACGAGCCCATCCCGACTTCCTTAGGGGGCCCTCCGCCTCACCCTCGGTCCCTTTTGTCGGAGATTCCAAGCTCACCAAGGGCCTGGGCGATGCTGTTCCCCGGTCTCCTGGAGACTCAGCCGCTTCCGCCATCTTGACCCTCCTTCTCAGGTCGCTCCCACAGGCCTTTGCGGAATCTGAAACGTGGAAGCTAGGGCCCGTCAGCGCGTCATCTCACCGCGACCGCGTCATCGAAAGACGCCTGATAACAGCTGTCGGTCTTGGCCTTTTCTCTTGTTCTTCGGGTCGCCTCGCCTCCCTTCGCTCCTTTGCGACCATAGATCTCGCTAGACAAGCTCCCTTTTATCAACCCGGATTCGCACATCGCTCCGTCGGTCTCCGGACGGCGGCTGCTTTCTCTGCCTCACCGATCCCACGCGTCCGTTTTCCGCCTTAAGGAGTTGGCTCGGAGTGCCACAGTTCCCAGAGCCCAACACCTCTGGGAAAAAAAGTGCCCCCTCCTTTCCCCTGCAGCACCTTTTAAGTTTCCAAACTCCCGAATGAAAGGGTTAGCCCCTCTCACACCAACTGCTCCCTCCACTACCGCTCCTGCACTGCCTATCGTCCGCGCCTCATCCTCCTACCAAGATACTTTCCACCTCAACCTCAACCTTTATAAACCTGAATCGTCCGCGCCTCATCCTCCTACCAAGATACTTTCCACCTCAACCTCAACCTTTATAAACCTATAACAAAATACTGTCTCCACACCGACCCTAAAGCTCCTTTGGGGCTAGGGGCGGGGTGGGGAGCTTCATTGGCCCAACTTTTAATCCCACTACAACTTGCAAAGCTGTAACTTTGGGGCAAGTACTGAAAATGTTCAAAGTCTGAGAAAAAAGTATAGTTAACTACTGTAAGAATTACTTCAAAAAATAAAATAAAAATCCCTGCATATCCCCCTCTCTTATCCCTACCTCATCCCTGAGCTTTCACAGTGGCAGTGACTATGGTTTACCTCTGGCAATAACAAGGTCAAACAATACAGCCATTGTTAGTTGACCCAATCAGGACACCTGGGTGACTTTTGGGAGGTGAGAATACCTATTTTCTACTTTTAACAAATCGAGTATGCCATGGGTAGGAAATAAAGTGGTTTATATTTTCGTATAGGAAATTCAGGAAAGCACCCAAATAGTAAACTGTGGGAGGGAGGATGTGGAATGTGGAGGGAAGAAATTCTCAAACTAATTTACCATAACTCTCCTTCAGACTTAAGTACATTTCCGGTACTAGCACAAAACGGGTGGGAGAGAGACTGAAATTTAGGCTAGTATAGATAGGAAGCCTGTTTCTTTTCCTCTTTTTTAATTGTAAGAGAATAGCATGTACAACTGCCCGAACCACAACCTTAGCCTCCTACCCACCCCCTGATTTCCTACACTTATTATCGGATCACTATGTCCCTTCCCATGTCTCTGAGGTCATTGATAATCTCATTTCCTTGAAAACTTCCAAAATTAGTTATTTTTTCTCTAGCCACAACTCCCCAACCTCTTTTTTTAATTTTTAATTTATCATTGCAGCATACAAAATGGGATTTCCCATCCAGAATGCACTGTATAGTGGCTTATCCATACATGTTATCATCAACAAATAATTTTCCATTTCTTGCTTCATATAGATAGATAGATGAAATTTAAATTTATATTTCACCCTATTTCTCACCCTCTGCCATTCCCCACCCTCTTCCCACACTGTCTCTAGCATCTACAGTTGCTTTCCATTCCTTTTTTTCCCCCACATTGTATTAATTCACAAAATATCTTAATCAATCTAACTACTTTCAATAGCAAGTTCAGCTGATATATACATATCTGGGAACACGTTTGACT